TATAACACAATCGCGTCTGCCTCATCAGCGACGAGACATGCGTCCTCCAGTGAGTATTCCTCGCTTTCCCTCTTTTTTTCGCCTTGGTTCAGTGCCTTTAACGCGATGTTTGGTCGTTTTTTTTTTTCTTTTTGAGGGGAGAGGGAAGGGGATGGATTTAATACAAAGACAGTGCTTTTTGTTGCTTGTAAATTTAACCAATAAATTTATTTGGAGGTTTGAGTCAGTGAATCGATTGATTTAATTATTTGGTGATATTTGTGTTTTTTTTTTTATGTTAGTGATATATGTGTTTCTTTTTCCTGTTTTTTTTCTTGTGATCTTTAATTTTATCGAGAATAATTGATGTATATTTTTTTTTATTAGTATGTTCTTAGTATTTTAAATTAATATATTGTTGTTACTTTGAATTACTATTAGGTACTTTTTAATTTGATAATCGTTGCTCGTGATTTACATTTTCATTTACATTTTCTTTCTGATGAGAAGATAGAATATATATAGGTTATCGAGTTCTTTTCCCTTTCTAATATTTCGAAATGCTCCAACAACAAACTTTATATAATTTTTAATTTAAAATTTCTTTTGTATAAGATATCTCGTAGATTTTTGTAAATTTTTGTATTGAATTTTAGTTTTTTTTTTTCTTTTTAAATCTTTAATCTTTCACACTTGGAATGAAAATAAAAGATAATTCACAGAAAATGGATTTAAATCATGTAATAAAAATTGTTTTCCATAATGCAACGAGATTATTGGAAAGTGATTCGTCGAATACCAGCAATTTTATGCAAAACTTGTATTGCCAGGTGCTGTGTCTCTTGTCTTGCATTGGCCTTGCGCTCGCCCAGCAATATCCCGTGACCACGCCGGTGCCCATTTTAAAGCAGATAAATAAGTAAGTGCCGTTTCGCTATCACGACATAAGATTTAAATCCGAACAATACAATGTTTTCTTTTTTTTTCTCCTCCTTTTTTTCTCCTCCTTTTTTTCACCTCATTCCCGTATCAACAACTATTTATCTGTTAACTAACAGACTATAGACCAGAAACGTGAGATCATATAAATAAATAAATAACGAATAAATAATTTTATTCTTTTTCAATATTATTTTGATTAAAAAAAAAACGAAGAAATATCGAAATAAATTATGGATTATAATTTCAAGGGTATATTCACACTTCTACTCATTTCTGCAATTGATATGCAATTGCCACATAAGTATTGCGTTACTCTATTTCCGCACATTTCCTCAACTTTTTCTCTAGCATTCTGATTGGAGGGCGAGTGACACAAGAGATAACAAAAATCAATGAAACTGGATGCCTGAATGTTACAAAATAATACAATGTTTCATAATAGATTAGGTGTAAAATATATACTATTACATTTCAACTTTTTAAACAACCGTTTTATATTACATTTCTTTATATCTACGATTGATCGTTTGAAAATTTAATTTTTACGTAACAATATTTTCGAGTCGAAAAACAGTCGAGATATTGACATCAAATATTAACATCAAGATATATTGATATTGAGGTTAATTATCACATTTCATGATAATCAGACACAACGAAGACGGTAGCTACAGTTACGGATACGAGGCTGCGGATGGTTCTTACAAGATCGAGTCCAAATATCCGACTGGAGAAGTGTACGGGAAATACGGATTCGTCGACGACACTGGAAATATTCGAGAAGTGGAATATGGAGCTTCGAGGCGAGGATTCGAACCCCAAGGTCCCGGTATAAACGTTCCACCACCGACCCTGACTGGTAACAGTATCGCGAATCCTAACCAACCCGAGGACGACGGCCAATACAGAGAAGATCCGTCCGTTTACTACACGGATCCTCGTTTCACGAATGGAGAACGATACGAACCTCGTCGACCTTTGGTCAACAACCAACCGCGACCGATTCCTGCACCGATCTACAACCCACCAAGGTAAGAAATTTAATTATTAAGAAGATAGATTAATCCTTTATTTTAGAAATTTCCAAATTTCTTATACGTAAGATATTCTCAGAAAATTCTTCTCATCATATTAAAATTTTTTAATAGATGTTTAAAGATATCATTGATAGCTTCATTTACGAAAGATTCTTCTAAAACTAACCAACATTAGTTTATCTCTAAAAATTCTGAAAAATATATATATTTACATGTAGTATACTCAAAATAATAATATTACATACGTATATTCAGAAAATTATCCTCACTAGTAGATTGAAATTTTTCAAAGGCCTTAAAACATTATAAAATCATTACGAATTAAAGATTCTCCTAAAACCAACATTGCTTAAAATTCTAAAAAAAAACATTTACGTGTAATATACTCGGAAAATACTAATATTGCACACATATATAATACATTAAAAAAATTATTTTCACTAGTAGATTGAAATTTTTCAAAGACCAACTACCTTAAAACGTTTTAAAATCCCTCGAGAAGGAATTTTCTCAGAGCTGACGTTACACGTTATCCGCTCGTTCAAATGTCACGTGAATCTCAGCTCGCTCGAAACGTGACTTGCACAACTCGCAACACGCTTCGGCTTAACCCGCGGACGGACAGTTAAACAGTGGAATTAACCGACGAAATTTCGTCGTTTCGATTTGCAGATATCCGACGCAAGTGCAATACCAGCCGAAGGCCCAATATCAACCGCAGTATCAACCGCAGTACCGATCGCAGTATCAACCGCAGTATCAGGAGCAGCAACAGCGAGCCGCGTATCCCGCGGCGCCGATCCAAAGCGGAATTCAAGGTCGTCCAGCGCCCAACGTAGACCCAAACGCCGGGGTAGCCTCTTACACGGTTAATTATAGACGATAGGGATCGATCGTGTCAACCTTAAATGTGTAAATATTGCGTTATTTATACCGATTTCCGGAACGAGTTGCACCGATCGAGAGTTTAGGGCCAGTTTGTTTTCTCGAATATTCGAATCTCTGATTTGATATTTATATTTACATTGTGTAAAGTTATGTTTCGAATTCGAATATTGTAGGCCCTGTTTTTCTGTTTTTATTATTATTATAAATTGTTATTTTTTTCGTTTCTTGATTTTGAGGGCGTTCGAACGTTCTTTGAGCCGAACAAAGATATTTTTATGGCGATAAATTATAATGTCGTAGGCTCTGTTTTTCCTTCCCTTTTTTCATTATTATAATGAGTAAATTGTTATTTTTCGTTTCTTGATTTTAAGAGCGTTAACATCATTTGAGCAAGCGTTAACAGAGCAAAGATATTTTTATGGCGATAAATTATAATATTGTATCGATTCACGAAACATTGTAATATTCTTTTCTTATGATTTGATATTTAAGTTTCGTGTATTTATGAAAAATGTTAAAAGTTGTTTCTTATTATAGTTTGAACTGATACTTCGATAGATTCTCGTGTTAATGGAATTGAAGAGCACGAATATTCGACAATAATTTAGGGAACTAATAGTATCTTTTCAAGATGAATACTTTGCTATTTGATTATTCTATACAATTCTTGCTATTTCTCACATTTCGAACACTTAATAGTACTCCAACGTGGCATGTTCATTTCTTAGTAGTTCCTTTAAGAAAAACCTCTACCTCTTTCTTACTTTTCTACCTCTTTTATATATATATATCTGTTCTTTTTATTTGCACCTCGTGTAGTTATCTCTTACTCACTGATTTATAATTTTCTTCTAAATGTTATTTCTTTTATCGATATCTGCACCTCCTATATAACGCTTTCGAGACAACTCTGAAGAGACATTTCTCAAATCATCGTTATATCGATAAAAAAAAATATATATATAAAATTTATAAATCGTTTCAAATTCCACTGTACCATAATAATCCTCCTATCAAAATAATCTACATCTACTAATTATTCCATCAAATGTGGTTGAAGAAAACAATCAGCCTCGAAAGTATCAAAACAGTTGGCGTAAAAATCGCGAGGATCGAAAAAAAAAATCGCCCCACCCTCTCGGGGTGAACAATTGGCCAGCAATGCGAGACGGAATCTCGTCCACCGGATTCCTGCCCATGTCGATCGCCTCGTGGAATTGCAACCACTGAACTTGACACGTTGGCAAAAAATCCTTTCGCACAACTGCGCACGGCCTTCGGATGGCATCGATCGAGCAATGCGAGTAAACGACCCTCCATCGGCGTAGGCGATCCACCTTCGCGCGCCTCGATTATCCTCCGCGTGATTCCCTCACGACCAGAAATTTCCATTCCATTCCATTTTAATCCGCGATTTCCTTCTCTATATAATAAAGAAGATTCGATTGTCGTCGAATACGTTGCGTTTGTTGGATAATTGATCGCGCAGGGAGCGGGCAGAGGTATGGAATGCGATAGATATCGATGATAATGATGGGAGCGTGGATGTTTAAGACAGGGATAGCGTTCTGCACGAGATGGATGGAAGAAGATTACACAGTGTTTGCTAAATCGAACATTTATGTATCGTGCTTATTGTTTTACGATAAATTGTATTGTGTAATAAAAGAAGCATTTTGCCGTTGGCCGGAACTAAAATATATTGCCATTTCACATTTATTAAATGTAATAATAATACGTGTAAAATTCTTCCTTGAATATTATGGTAAATCGGTACACGTAATACCGTAAATCGTTGTCACTGGAACTAATGAAAACTAATGAAAAGGAAATGTTCGTCGCAAAAATTTATAATTGAAATTTACATTTTTTTCTTTCTTTCTTTTTTTACGTTAAAAATTTCTTCTCCTACTGTGAACCGTTACTTTCTTCCAGGATATATATGCCTGATAAAAAGAATTTCCAATTAAACGAAGGCAACTTTTCGTTCGTGATTCGTTCGATTATTTCGAGTTTTTACAAAAAAAAAAAAAAAAAAAAAAAAA